AGTCCAATCCCCGGCTATCATATAGCTCTGACATAGATGGAAATAATTATAGCTTTGAGTCAATTCCGTTTGGAAGAAGGTCTATGGATATCTGCTCTGATTTCTCATCCTTCTCACAAGACAGTGATGGCTTGCCATCCTCTGCATCACAGGGCATGGTAAGACATGCAGCCAATGTGCATTTATTTCATCATATAATAGGCCAAATGATATTATGATTTAGATAAGTTTAGCTCGTCTAAAGTCTGAAGTGGTCGAGGATCACTTCGTAGAATAAATTACAGTTACTTATAGCCTTTGATCAAGTAGTTAATGACTGAGATTGTGATAAAAAATTATATATATACATATTCAACAAAATATGAAGTTTTTAGTTTGTTTCCACTTACTAAAAATAATCAACAGTGTGTCCTGGTACACCCTTCCAATTATATGGGAGCTGTAACAAATGTATGTGTAGCAATTTGCATGTATTTTCTTATAGAAAAGGGGATTTCAAGATAGTTATCCTGAAGATAAAGACATCAATATAGGTTCTAGGCGACATTTCTTTCAAATATTAACTTCTTTTTGGAAGATGTTTCAGCCCACTCAAGGAATGAGTAGAAATAACGGTAAATTAAGAAACCATGTTAGGTTCTTGAGTTGGAAACCTAACTAAGACAACCCAATCACACACACAAACAAGAATTAACACTGTAAAAAGAATGAGTATCTGTATTGATATTCAAAGAAAGTACACAGATAGCGCTAATGGAGGCCTAATCCCCCTCTTAGCCCTAACGGAGGCCTAATCCCCCTCACAAGGTTCAAGACCTATCTGTACTAAGAAAATGACTCTCCCCCACAGAATTACCAAAAGGCTTATTTATACTCTCTCTCTCCCCCTAACAGCCTAACAAACTTTCCCGCTCTTTACTTCTATCCTAAATCCATTACCCATTATACCCTGCCACCCCATATCCTAACAAACCATGTAACATTATAGTTACATAGTGATAGCAAATGATAGATGGACTTTAAAGTGTCAGCATAGTTGAGATGCCAAAGTTTATAGTGAGCCTAACATGAGTCCATTTGCAGTAACATTTTACGTTATTATTGTTTACCGTAATCCAAAATGTTTCATAAAACTAATAAATAGTGCAACATTAAGAGAAAAATGTCATAACCTTGGTTAAGCCTATGGTTGATATTGCCTAAACTATTGATTAAGCAAAGTTAATGGATTTACTAATTTTTAGTTTAACTGATGGTTTAGTGACAAAAAGACAAATTTAAGGGGATAAGTTGCTCTAGTACTAAACCAAAGGGGTAGAATGTAGTTTGTCATAGAAACAAATGATCAAATAGTCAAATATTTCAGTTACTTACAACGTTTTTTTATATGGGTAAAGTATTTTGATTCCTGGTTGCTACTACGTTGTGTATAAACATGTCTTGCAATTGTAGGATGATGTGGAGGCTGAAATGAGAAGACTAAAATTGGAGCTCAAGCAAACAATGGAAATGTATAGCAATGCCTGCAAAGAAGCACTCACCGCACAGCAAAAGGTACATATCATGCATCTGCTTCTGCATCTTGAAAGCACAAGATGGTCTGACTCTGAATGCTATGCAATGCATCACAGGCTGTGGAACTCCAACGCTGGAAATTAGAGGAAGAGAGGAGATTGGAGGAGGCAAGGCTTGCTGAAGAAGCTGCATTGGCGATTGCAGAAAAGGAGAAGGCAAGATCAAAAGCAGCCATCGAGACAGCTGAAGCACAGAAGAGGATTGCAGAACTGGAATCACAGAAGAGAATCAGTGCTGAAATGAAAGCATTGACGGAAACAGAAGAGAAAAGAAAAGCAGTGAATGCTTTATCAGGCACTGGTTTGAGGTATAGAAGGTACGCAATTGAGGAGATTGAAGCTGCCACAAATTTTTTTTCTGAGTCACAGAAGATCGGAGAAGGGGGTTATGGTCCAGTTTATAATTGCCTTCTGGACCATACACCTGTGGCAGTGAAGGTTCTACGGCCTGACGCAGCACAAGGAAGGTCACAGTTTCAAAGAGAGGTAATTAAGCAGACAGACAAACTTCCTTGCCCCTTTATGCAACACTTCATATGCAGTACCAATAAATGAAAAGGTTTTCGGCCTAACTAAAACAAAGAAAAGAAAATTCTGGGGTCTTAGGAGTGTACTTAAGCAGGGAAGAAATGGTTAAGATATGTGGCAGGGGAGTAACATCTCTTGGACCTGTCTATTTTGGTGATGTAAGACTTGGTTAAAAACGTGAAGTTTGTATGTCTAGTTGACTTTCTTGCAGGGTTTTGAATTGGAGAAATTTATCTTCTCTAAAGTACTTATAATGCTTCTTAAATGTAAAAGTGAGTGTGCAGCTACAACTGATTTAAATTGAAATGCTTCTTCAGCTTGTGCTACTCAGGCTTACTGCTGAAGGTTAAAGACTTTTGAGAGTTATATCCTTAAAATTTTGGTTGGTGACTCTAATTATGGTTCCAAAATTGTGGTTTGAAGACCCTCTAAAAGCATAATTATCCACATTGGCCTAGATTTTTCTGCACTTGTAATACTCACAACCAAATGCTATCATGATCACATCCACAATTTAAGTCTATACTTTTGCATGAACATACAGGTTGAGGTACTGAGTTGCATTCGGCATCCAAACATGGTTCTCCTCATAGGTGCCTGCCCTGAGTATGGTTGCCTTGTCTATGAGTACATGGCCAATGGAAGCTTAGATGACTGCCTCTTCTGCCGAGGAAACAGGCCCCCAATTCCATGGCAGCTCAGGTTCAAAATTGCAGCTGAAATTGGCACAGGCTTGTTGTTCCTCCATCAGACCAAACCTGAGCCTCTTGTGCACAGAGACCTTAAACCAGCCAACATCTTGCTGGACAGAAACTATGTGGCCAAGATCAGTGATGTAGGTTTGGCCAGGCTAGTTCCACCATCTGTGGCAGACTCTGTCACGCAGTATCACATGACATCCGCAGCCGGAACCTTCTGCTACATAGATCCTGAGTACCAGCAGACAGGAATGCTGGGAGTGAAGTCTGACATATACTCTCTTGGGATCATTTTCTTGCAAATTTTGACAGCAAAACCTCCAATGGGTTTGACTCATAATGTTCAGAGAGCCATTGAGAAGGGAACATTTATTGATATGTTGGATCCAAAAGTGCCTGACTGGCCAACAGAGGATGCCTTGGTCTTTGCAAAGATTGCTGTCAGGTGTGCTGAACTGAGGAGGAGAGACAGGCCTGATCTTGGCAAGGAAGTGCTGCCTGAACTAAACAGGCTAAGAGAACATGCTGAGAGCCATGATCACTATTCAATGTTTAGTGGCTATGCTAGCCCTTCCAATCAGAGCCAAGTTTCTCTGGTAGTTCATGTTCCAATTATTAAGGATCTTTACATGTGTTTTTATGGACTTTTTGTGATTATTCGTGTTGAATGTCTCATTAGTTAATCCGTTTAACCAAACTTGATCTTGCTTATTTTGCATGTTCCTTTTTGCAGGATGAAGCCAGTTCTTCACTTCCTCATTCTGGGGAGAGTTCATGAAACGCATCAAGTCCTGTTTGACATTCCTTCAAAACAAGATCTTCCCTTTTCAGCAAAATAGATAGTGAGTTCGGTGGAAATGATCCCAAGGATAAAGTGTAAATTTCATAGGTAAATTGATGTAATAGCTTCCATGAATCTTTCAATTTGAGCATGAGATTCGTTCTCATTTCAATTTAGGTTGTATAAGTAGAAGAGTCATGAATCCAAATTACTTCATCTAGTCTCTATGGGGACTCATGAATTCTAGTCAAAATTATTCTGTTTATTATTTACTATTTAATTGCTTTTTCTACTATTCATTTACATATTATTATTCATTAATTAATATAATTTATTCATTTATTTGCTCTTTCCAAAATCAATCACAAACAACACAAAAAAGGTTTACGTAAATTTTAACATTTTCACCTATTTAATTACGCCATGTCAAAAATATTTTAATTAATATATAAATTGTATTTCTAATAAACTTTTTTTATTCATAAAGTGTCAAGCATTTTAGAAAAGAAATATATATTTTTAACTGTAATTGGTATGATTACATAAAGTCAAGCATTAAGTGTCAAGTAACTTTTTTAACTAGTAATAAAGTTAGATAATTTTTCTTATATTTAGGTGTTGAAATTCATTTCATGGGTAATTAAATCTGTTGTTTTTGTGGAAATGTCCCAATCCTTATTAGAAAAGACTCAATGGAATGGGTATTTTCGAATAAGGCTTATTTTGGTTATATTCTTCTTGTAATCCATTATTTTTACCTGCATCACCATATAATTATTATTATTAGTGTTCCCTTTATGATCATTTATATACACAAATTTATATTAATACAATGAATGTAAGTGTCATGTGCCATATTTGGTAGAAGATAAAGTTGCAGATTTTATCATTGTAGAGAAATTTATTCAGTGGAATCAGCCTTAGTGTAGCAAAAATGTTGCATATGGTAAAATATGATTATACTATTCAATTAACTTTTAGAACATTTTGAAATGTTTTCACATCAACATGTGCTAGGATATGAAAGTCAACACAAATATATAATAGAAACTAACAATAAACACTTACTTTTAATATTAATATTGCATTTATCGAAATGAATTACGATTCTCCTTTTAGGATTCTAGCTCATAAAGTGATTTATAATCATTTTGAAATTTTATAATCTAATCTTAAATTGATATTTATATACAATTTGGTTTCAAATTAATCTTAATTTACTAACAAACAATTTAAAAAAAAGCTTAATCCTATAATTACCTCAACCTTTACATATTTAAGCATTAAATATGAAATTTCTTCCTTCAAGTCAAATTACAACTTACTTACACATGAATAATAATAATAATAATAATAATAATAATAATAATAATAATAATAATAATAAATGGCATTTATAATCTTTTGTAGTTTGCAAATAATAGTAAAATGTATTAAAAATAGGCAACACTTTCCCTGGACACTCGCTACGCACAGCCGCCTTGCGCACACACCCCATCGCCGGTAGCAACTGTCCGCCACCGCGCACCATTTCTTCCGACGTTCCTCCTCAACAGTTCGGATAAGGTACTGAAAGCTAACTCCCTTACATTCGCACTGAGCTCTGCATAATACCCATTTCTCCATATGATTGTTTGCAACCATTACTATGTTCATTCAACGAGCTTATGAACATTGGTCAGGCAAAATGCTTCTGTCCTCAATACGCAGAAAATTCGCAAGGGGAGTGTGGCCCATTCGAACGCTCTCTTCAAACGCTGAAATGAAAGAGTTTTTGGATTACTTAGATTCGCTAAAAAATTTCGAGAAATCAGGAGTGCCCAGAGGTGCCGGCACCGATTCAGACGAGGGTTTCGATCTGGGTAGAATGAGACGCCTCATGGAGCGTTTCGGTAATCCTCACACCAAGTTCAAGGTTTCATTCCCCTCCCTGCCACTTTTTCATTCATTTTTTTTAAAACGGTTGAGGTACCATCTTGGTCTCTGAAATGATATAGTGCTGTCGTACTAATTCATGAAAGTAAGCAAATTCAAAAGAAGTTCCTAGATGTCATGTAGGTCCTTAGTTTAGCCATTTTCTAGCACTCTAGTTCTTAAACATGGGTTAATAATATTATCTTACATTATTTCTGAATTTTTGATCAAGATGATTGACAGATTGCACTTGCAGGGTATTTTTTGAGTTTTCTTATACTTATAGAATAATGGAACCACGTTATACACTCTGTGAAACTTGAATGATGTTTTGCCCTTCTGAAACTTATTTTAAAGTTCTATTAGTTATATACCTGTACTTTGAAGAGGACATCAGGATACCAACTAATCATCCATAACATAAAATGGCCATTTTATGTCTGGGATTTAGGGACATTTTTGTACTTTTATTTTATGCAGTTGATGGAAGTGCTTATTCCAATTTTAGGCGGTTCATATTGCTGGGACTAAGGGAAAGGGATCAACAGCTGCGTTTATATCTAATATTCTGAGGACGGAAGGTTATTCTGTTGGTTGTTACACTAGGTGAAGTTTCTATATGATTTAAATGTTTTACTTTTTAATATAACCTTAGGCTGCTCGTCATTTCATCTTTAACTATATCTTTTTTACAATTTTGTACATCATTGATGACAGGCTTTATTTTTCTCAAGCAGTCCACATATCCTGACCATCAGGGAGCGTATTTTGCTTGGAAGATCTGGCCATCCAGTGTCGGCAAAGTTGTTGAATGATCTCTTTCACAGGATCAAGCAGGAACTTGAGCAGGCAATGAAAGAGGAAAATGGTTGCATAAGCCACTTCGAGGTATGGAATGTTGAATTGTCAATGAGCGTTGTAAATAAATTGTTGTGGGTAGCTTAAGGAGTTATGTTGATGGAATTCCGTGGGTCCAATTGAGTGTCTCACAGTTAGTATTTGTTCTTTTTGAACTCTTATCTTTCTTTCTTATTGGTCTGCATTTATACATTATAACATTGCTGAAGTTAATGTTCATTATTTGGATATTTCTGCTTACTTGGTTCACAAATTAGCATTATATCTAAATACAAGTAAAATACTTTTTGTTTGCGGCTTTATTTACCCTGCAGTTTATATGAGTATTTAATACAATAGAAGAAATCATTAACATTGCCAACTTCTTTATTTAATAACTTAAGCCACTTATGGAAATGTCTCAGGTTTTCACCGCAATGGCATATATCTTATTTGCTGATGAGAATGTTGACATTGCTGTTATTGAGGTTAAATATCTTTTTCCCTACATCTTCAACTGCGTGCTTTATATCAATATCTTATCGGGTGATTCTTCTATTTATATTGTTGTTACCTCTTCCCATCAGAAGAATGTTGGGTTGAATATCACTTTTATGTATGGTTTGTTGGGGTTTGTGCTTGTTAATTTTGGCCTCTTCTTTTTACAATTAAATCCAAAAAATCTAAATTATGCTATTTCTTTTATAATTAAATTCTACAGGCTGGGTTAGGGGGTGCACGAGATGCAACAAATATCATATCCAGCTCTGGACTAGCTGCAGCAGTCATAACTACTGTAGATGAGGAACATTTGGCAGCTCTTGGGGGTTCTTTGGAAACAATTGCAATGGCAAAAGCAGGAATCATAAAACAAGGCTGCCCAGTTAGGTGTTTCTCTCCATAGATCTCATTTTGCATAGTAATGTGACGCACTGAAGTGACAATATGTAACCCTTTCTTGTAGACATGAGTGCATTTTATAAATGCAAAAAAAAAAAGAAGATAAAAAACGAATGAAAAGTAAAACTTGGGTTATTATTGCTGAAATTAGTTAGCTACATCACGAAGATCAAAAAGTCTGGTCTTAGGATATAAGGAGAAGGATAACTTAGTTATGATAGTTAGGATATTAATGGTTAGTTTGTTAGTAGTTAGAGAGGTAGCTAGGAATAAATAGGGGAAGAAGGATATGAGAAAAGGATGTTCATTTTTGTAGATTGAGCTTTAGCTCTTTGTGAAAGGGGAAATCCTGGGAAGGGGATTTATTTTATGTAGAGACACTCAAAATCACTCTTTGTTAGACGCCCTAAAGATCTTGCACTAAGAGAACCTTTATGATATCAGTGCATGTAGAGAGCTTTATTTAACTTGAGTCATTCATTAGTCTTTTTCTACATGGGATAGCTTCTATATATAGATGCCTTGAATAAGACCATTGGAGCTTGTGTGTAGATCTTATGTCCTTAGGTAAATTTTTTATCAGATGTTGGTAGCCTTTAAGTTGCCACCTTTTCTATTGCTCTCAACTGGCTATACAGAAGACCGCTTTTTCTGTAAACATCCCTTCATTTTACTTACATCACCAAATTGAACATACAATCTTAAGAAGGGTTGGTCTACTTAGTAGAATAATTGTGGGAATCTGCAAGTAAAGTCTGATGACAAGTAGATGGTGTAGCAAATTAATTGTGTTTTGTGTTATAAATGTGTCTTCAACGTCTTCTTTATTGTTGACATCTTCTAATGGTTGTTGGCTAGTCGCTTAATGTGGTCTAGACAATTTTTATCTGAAGGGTCTAATGATCTTTTGTAGGCTGGTTTTGATTTTCTTTAAACTTTTCCTAATACACACTTAGAGAGAGATGATTAAATCACTAAAACATAGGATTATTTGCTATGATCAAAAGCATGGGTACTCTTTACCAGACCTTATTGATTGATGAGGATTTAACTGTCTATGGTAGATCATCAAGTCAGCTGTCTATGTCTTAACAAAAAGTTGAAAGAGATAAGTAATTGACGGTGTGGTGGTAATTTCTGTTTATTGTAAAGGAAGAGCAGTGCAGTGCAACAGCAATAAACAAAGAAGGAGAAAAATGGATGGAATCAGAGTGGAAATGATATTAAATAGTCAAAGAGAGATCAAAGGTCTCTCTTTTTTGGCCAAGGAAGAGAAGTAGTCATGACAATTTTTAGGCAACGGGGGTATGTGTGGTTTACATGGAAGTCATTGGGTTTTGAAGGAATTAAAATTTGGGGCGAAGCTTTAGGTTATTAAACTAGGTCATGTGACCCAACAAACGAAAATGATCTAGAAACAACCTGCAACAAATGCTGCTCCAAGACCATGAGAAATGCTGCTCACACATGAGTCGTGATCTTCAACTGTGATCCAATGCGATCTGCCAAAGTCACAACCTTGAGGTGACGTGAAATTGGAGTGGGTGGAGGTGATAGTAGATGTATACGCTTTTACACTCCAGAGCATGATTTTGACTACCTTGAGTTCTCCTTCCTGAAGAGAAATACATCAGGGATTTGCTAGTTAAAACTAGTATGTCTTAGGTAAGTGGTTGCAAAATGACTAATACATTCTTAACCTCTTGTTGATCGATACATATATAGGTAAGTGGGGGGTGCCCTCTAATATGCTACGATTACTAGACTAGAAATAGTCCTTTCTATTAACAAGGTCTGTCAATTCATGGTTCATTCTTGTGAAGCTCGTCGAACAACAATGAAAAGATTCTTATATATCTCTAAGGCATACTTGCTTGGAGCTTACACTTGAAAACTTGCTAATTGGGTGTTTGATCTAGATGGTTAGAGATTTCATCAATTAGAAACATAACTAAATTATAGAAGAAAGTTCGTGCAAATTTCACCTTCCAAACTGATTTTATGGGATTGAGTTAAGATTGCAATTCACTTTCATTGATAGATGATAGCTGGGGTGTATTAAAGAATCATTGCCTCAGACCTGATTTCCAACACTACCTTTTGTGAATGCTAGCTTGGCATCTGATCAAGATGATAGAAGGTTAACTTTGGTGTTTGTGTGTTTTTTGGAATCGATCTTGTGTCTCTTGGTGGTCCAGGAAACAAACAGTTGGAGTTTGTTCCAGGACAGAAGCTAAGTATCAACGTCTTGTTTTGGTGATTATTGAGCTGTACTGGCTTTAATCTCTTCTCCCTGACCTTCAAGTGAAGCACATCGTTTCTGTCATTTACTTTGGCAATATGAGTTGTGTCTCTCTAGCTCATAAACTATTGCTTCATGCTTAAACCAAATACATGGAGCTTGTTCTATTCTTTCTTCGAGAAAAAGTGCCTTGCAAACAACTAACATTGGTTCATGTTCCTGCTTCAGCTCAGTATGTTGACATTCTCACAAAATATCTCACCTACAAATTTAACTTTTGAGATCCAAGCTTACAGTATGACTGCTTTACCTTGCTTCGGCCTCACCTACCATGAGCTTTGGGGGCAGGTGTATTAGAGTGGTCTTACACCATAAGTGGAATGTAATATTTTCTTTTCTGTTTAGTTAGTTACTATCTCTAGTTAGTTAGTAACGTTTTCTGTTTTCTTACGGTTAGTTAATTAGAATGCTATCTCTTTGAGTTTTCTTACAATTAGTTGGTTAGGTGCTATCAACTATATGTAGAGCATGTTCTATTTTTGTAACTGATTGATTGATTTTTATTGTATAATCAAACATAGTTTCGTTCTGCCAGAATTTTGTGATTTTACCCTTCTTCTGATTCCTTTATTTTTTATGACTAAATAAATACCATTTCAGTTGGTGTTGGGTGGGCCATTTGTTCCTCATATTGAGCGCATTATTCGAGATAAAGCAGCAACCATGGAATCACCTGTTGTGTCAGCATATGATACTAGGAATAGGTTTACTGTGAAAAGTTGCAGCATACTCAATGGAAGGCCTTGTCAAATTTGTGATATAGTGATACAAGTTGGGCAAGACTTGAAGATGGTATGCACTTTTGTTCTTTAGCTTTAAATCTATTTAAACAATGCAGTATACGGGGACATATCTCAGGTGTGGTTGCTTTAGAAGATCTGTGGGATTGATTGCTTAGGGTGCATATTGTAGAGACATGCTTTGCTATGTTGGTTAACATTTTTTAAACCTGACACACAAGCATGATGTTAGCATGATATATTGGTTTGGTTTAGCATAAAACCTCGCATTGGAATAGTAGTTGACAAGAATTTGATTTTCAAATACAAAAATAGGGATTCTAAAAGTATAACCTAATTTAAACACACTTGATTTTGAACTGTAATTGTCGTACTGTACATTATCATTGTTTCCCACTCTGCAAGATCACTGTGGTTCTTTTGCCTCCACATGTTTGCTATATTGCTTTCCATCTCATGGTATATCCTTATCTTATGCTGTACAGAAAATCTGAATGTTTAAAGAAATTTTGCACCACATTTTCCCCCTACTTCAATATGTAATTTAAGCAGGTTTTCAGTTTTCTTTTTCTTCATATTGATCATGGAAAACTTTTATTCGCAACTTATGAATATATCTATTAATGTAGTCTTGTAAGTTACATGATGTGAAGTTGAAAATGCTTGGAGATCACCAACTTCAAAATGCAGCTACTGCTACTTGTGTGGCTCTTTGTCTTCGTAATTTAGGTATAATTTTTCTACCTTTTGCCTGGCCCCTCTCTACACGTGTGGCTTTTCTTTGTTGAATTTGAAGAGTTTATGTAGGGAAGAAGAAAGAAGATAATAGACGTTAAAATGAAATGTTGTTTTATGATTATTTCTTTTTGTATGTACCCCACTTTAGGGTTATGGTTAAGGCTTTGTTTTGTAACTTACATACATCAATACAAGCATATTAGTGTAGGTTGATCTCCTAGAAAAACAAGAAGCAAAATGTGGTGGCAATATCTAGTGCAGAAAGGAGTATAGAGCAATGACTTCTGACTCTTGTGAGCAAATTTGGCTCAAACAATTGCCTAAAGAACTTATATTTGGGGAAGTTACACATATAACTTACACACACACACACATACGCACATCAATGCAAGCATATTAGTGTAGGTTGATCTCCTAGAAAAACAAGAAGCAAAATGTAGTGGCAATATCTAGTGCAGAAGCAGAGTGTAGAGCAACGACTTCCGACTCTTGTGAGCAAATTTGCCTCAAACAAATGCCTAAAGAACTTATATTTGGGGAGTTACACATATGACTCTCATTTGTGATAACCAAACTGCTCTTTGTATTGTCTCAAATCTAATATTTCATTAGAGAACCAAACATGTTGAGATAGATTGCCACATTATCTGAAAAAGGATTTTATCAAGAGACATTACTGCCGCACAGTTTGTTAATTCCAATGATCAATTGATAAACATTTTCACCAAACTATTGTGTGGCCCTACGATTTAATATATATGTAACAACCTTGGAGTATATGATTTATATGGTCCTTTATGGGGTTTTAGATATATTATTTTTTTTTATGTGGGCGTGTGGGCTCAGCCCTATATAATGCTTTGTATGACATGTAAATATGTTCCTCAGCTGTGCTCATAGACATTAGAGGATTGTATAGTATGAACAATCACCGTTTCTCTCTACACCAAGATAAAAAAAGATATAATATTTTTTCGTATTTTCTAACGCTTCATCTCAAGCAAAAGCTTACTAAGTATGCTTTTGCGTGTGTTCAGACCTGGATCTCTGCAGTGTTGCTGGCTTTCTGTAAAAGCATCCAAAAGGATTTGGCACATAAGCTACATGCAAGATCCACGGTCATCTTTAAGGTGCCTATAAAAGGGCAACTCAGTAAATTCTAGTCCTGATTAAATATAGATACAGATCATAAGTATAAAAGAAGAATAAATCCTAAAAGATCATCTAGGATACTCTGAAATATGAAGTAAATATCATCAAATAGTTCCAAAATTTTCTAAAACTTTTTATATTTAAATTGAGCATAGTTCTGAAGGTACTTGAAACTCAGATTTGTGTATTCATCACATAAATAAGTTTTTGTGGTAACTACTGTCCTTTATATCTATTAAACTCGTTAACTACATATTCTAGTATTGCATATGCTATAACCTTTTGCATTTGTTCAGACATCGCATCAAGGTTTTTGCATGTTTTAGTTTAGTTATTTATAGTTTTTCCCTGTGATAAAGCAAATCAAAGAATTTGCATTGTTTTATAATTTTTATTGGTTATATGACCTTGACTTTCTCCTTGTTTATTGGATGATTAGGATGGAGTATTTCTGAAGAATCTATTAGGTCTGGTTTAGAGCATACACACCTCCTTGGAAGGAGTCAATTTCTATCATCTGAAGAAGCAGAGGTATTAGGACTTACTGGAGCAACAGTATTACTTGATGGAGGTTTAGTGCTCTGACTTTTCTTTTATTACCATGATATTAACTGGGGAAAATCCCGTCTTAAAAAAATTAGGCTTCACTTGTTCTGGAAAATTTTCTAGAAATCCTTTGAAATTTTGAGAAAGAAAAAATTGTTAAATATCGATAATTCCGGACTGGACACATCTTTAACATATCATGCGGTTCTGATTGAATCTTTATGTTTTATTACAATTTTTTATTTGTATTGTGGGAAGAGCTCCGAAATTTCTGGCTCAGTGCCTCAAATACTTGAGAACAAAGTTGTGATGTTGTGCTGGTATATGCTGTAGCTCATACCAAAGAATCCGCCAAAGCTCTGATGAATACAATTAAGACAGCATTTCCCAAGGCTCGATTGGTTTTTGTTGTTGCAATGGCAAGTGACAAAGACCATGTGGGTTTTGCTCGAGAGATTCTCTCAGGTAAAATTGTTAATTCGATATTTAATTCAATTAAAATATCATGATAAATAGCAGTTGATAAAGTGGGATCAAAAGAAAGTGAAAGCCAGCTATGAGAAAGTTTATTGATTTAACGAGGGCATTGAATTTCAAGTTGGTTTGGTTCCTTCAGACCACTAAACTTTTCTGCAAGTTCATAATGCCATTTTCACTAAATAAATGATTTGACCCAATAACCAAGAGGTTTCTTGGACATATCGTTTCTTTCTATTGCTGCTTATTGATGACGTTTTAAGTTGTTGATATGGAATCTTGGATAATATTCTGAATGTTTTTAATTCTTCTAAAATAAGAGTTTCATATATTGAATCAAGATTGTGATAAATACTTGCATCTATGTAAAAATTCATGAAATGCTTAAAATTCACTTTATTGCTTCTCCAATTTGTGGTTATATTCCTGTATTTTCTCTTCAGTTGTACCCTTTGATTTACAAGTGCTAAATTAAACAAATGGTACATGTGTTTAAAGCCTGCAATAGCTAGTGCGAGACTACAGATCTAAATATGCTATGGTATTTGTTTAGGTGGGCATGTGGAGACTGTCCTTTTGACAGAAGCTGCTATTGCTGGAGGTGGAACTAGAACAACACCAGCATCTTTATTGAAAGATTCTTGGATTAAAGCTTCTGATGAGCTTGGCATTGAGATATTTCCTGATGGAATGGCAGAATATGATGAATTAATAAATGAAGAGCAAGTAGGATCTGAAAGCAATTTGGTTGATGGTATGACCATATTGTCTACCGAGTCATCTTTAAAGAGTTGTTTGGGAGCTGCAAATAAGATTCTAACCAGAAGAGGGGAAGAGGAGAAGGGTGTTATTGTCTTCACTGGATCTCTGCATATTGCAGCTTCAGTCTTAGCCTCTCTTGCTGGTTAATGGGTTTTATAGTGAAGCTACTGAAGCAGAAGTTTCCTGCTATAACAACACAAAAGTCAAGATAAGATGGAATCATAGATGCCCTTATATTTAATATTTCCCATCACTGTTTTCAGCATCCATTAAATGGTTTATAGTCCTAGTGCTGTCAGCTCCTGAAGACTATTGGGTGTATAGAACATCTGAAATTTCATGGGTTTCATATTTAGATGTGATTGTGTTTCGAATGTAATTTTCTGAACCTTTAGAATTTAAATTTACATTTGGGTTTTAGTGATTGCTGGATTAGTCAACTTAGAAGGTAAAACCATTCTGTTTAGAACAATAATTTATAATTATAACCTTCTAATTGTGTTGAATTTGTAATAACTTAATAATACTAGTACGAAAGCTAGCAATAATATTAGTTTAACTACTTATCGAATACATGATAATTAATTGCTAAACAAATTCCATTTCTGTCGTTAATTGTATAGTACATTTTAAGATTGAAAAGACAAGAAATATATGAATGAACAATTTTAGACTAGTTGTTAATTTATTTGGTATAGTTTAATTTTTGGTTTCAAGTTTCTACAATTCTATGCTTTAATATCAACTCAAATTGATGCATGCATGCCATGGATACCTTAATTTGAGAAATAGACTTCGGATAAAATATATTTATTTTAGTTTTTAAGAAATCCCATAACAGATTACTAGCATGTGGAATTAAATTGTTCTAATCATTTTTTAAAATATATGGAAAAGTGCACCAATCATATATTACAAGAATTTTTTGATCACATTTTTAATGATGATAAATTAGACAAATTCTAATTAAAAATGATTTATTTTCTCTAAATAGAGAATGATTTAAAAGCATCCTTATTTTGACAAAGTGAAATTTAGTTGTAATGCATAAAAGTTACTAAATAATAATGATAGAGTAAGAGAACATTTTATTCTCTATGTGAAAAGAATAACTAATACTTTTTTCAATATGAGGATTTGTGGGAGATGATTTGGGGAGAGTGATTGAATGAATTTGAGGGTAAATTTTGTTGTTGTTTGTTTTAGTGGATTTGGAGGTAATTGAGAGTGAATTTGGAAGTAAAGTTTATGAGAATTAGTGTAGGATTTGATTGATGTGACATATTTAAAAAATTTGTTTAATTGGTAAAAATTAAAGATTATCAAAATGCCCCTAGTTATTAAAGTAATATAAAATGTTACTTTTTAATGTTATATTTAATTGAAAAAATGTTTATAAAGAGTAAAAAATTAAAAATAATTTTTAAAAAGAAACAAAATTATAAGTTAGTAAAATGAATTTATTTTTAAATGTAGTATTTCTTTGTAATATAATTTTATACCAAGTAGTATGAATTTATTTGTCATGGAAGTGAGATTGATTAATTTTGAAGAAACAAATAATTAAAGGATAAATACAAGTATGAAAACTAATGTCAAACATAATAACATTCAAAAATAGGTAATGTAAGTTATGAAACATATAAGTCAATATAAGCAAAAAAGTCGTGTAATACATTCACTCAATAGTCAACAACTTAATCATCTAAATGATGAAGAATTAAGTTCACATTTTAATACAGGTGAGCAAATTGTTGGTTCATGTTGAGGGATAGGTTTGTCAAGTTATCTTCAATCCGCTGAACCCGTACATGCATTTGTTCCATACCCTGCATTCTCTGTTGCAAGTCTTGTACCCCCTTCCACATTTGAGTCATCATATTAGTATTTGAAAGATGTGAAGGAGATTGCACAGGGTTGTCATGATGGTGTGGTTGTTTTTCGTCGTCATCATCACCGACGTCGTGTTGTCAAACACCGTTTGACACTAACAATATTCAACATTTTACAAGAATTTATTGAAAAATGATGTCTGGTTCCAATATGAGTGCTAGCATCGACATCAACATGTACTCCACAATATTGCATGATTTGGGTGATAAGGACACCGTATGGTAGGGGTGTGTCACCGACCTTGCATTTAAGCATATGATGCATGATGTGATTAGGCCAATTTATAGCTATATTATTTTTAAGCACCCATAACATAAAGATATCTTCCTGCAATCACTTTGCAAAATTTGCAGGTCGTGGAGTCAACATGTGCACAATAACATAATGCAGAAGTCTATCATTAATATTCAAACAACCAACCGTTTTAACATGGTGACCATGCATTTCTAGTCTAACCATAGTAGCTAACGCCATCTCCCGGTCATAGGGAAAGTCATCTAGGATATTTGAATAACATAATTTTTGACCCTCATACTTCATATTAGCAACATTCAACCAATTAGCAGGTTTTGATCTAATTCTTCTCTTGTTGACCTTACTAAGCAAATATCCATTTCCAGAAATCTTCAGATTTGAATAAAAAAACTTTTATCAAATCCGGATAGAAGGGTCCTTGTAATGTAAAAAATTCAACCACTCCTTGAAATAGAAGATGATGTTGAAAATATAAGGTTGAACCGACAAATGATTCGAAATTCATAATTTTTTGGATGCACAATATTCCTTGTGTAGAAATCAGTTGCATAGTTTTCCATCTGATGGCTGTGACTGAAGAATCAACGTTGATCTAATTGTTCTACAACAGATGGTCTGACATAGGTAGCAACTTCTGCCTCAGTTGTAGTTTCTTTTCCCTTACGACTTTTTCTAGGCCATTTGGTTGATGATAAGGTCATTTCACAAAGATTTCAACAAAACCATAAATAATATCAACAACAAATTACGTCATAACAAATTATTCAATATTAATAATAACAACAAGCAAAAACAATTAAGTCATAATTACAAAGCAGGTACATCTTAAAGTCATAATAGTAATACAAGTAATTAATTATGGCATTTTAACCGTCATCACCCAAGATCATTTTACATAACTTATTCCACCTCTTGTGTGGTGGAAGTCCTATCAACCTTTTTGTACATGTGGGGTTTCTACATAAGAAGTCATAACATTGTTTGAGCAAGTTTTCATCAAGAATATTCATACCACTCAACATTTCATATATGTCGCCCTCTATGTATGTGAATGTCGGGGTGCGACGTAGGATCTCGGTTTGGGAACGTAGTAAGATCCCAATAAGATGGTAATTTCAATTGTCAATATTGAAATAAAAGAGTCACAATTCCAAACGAAACCTGTTAAAAAAAATACATCAATATCTTATATCATATAATGGTTAAAAAATATAAAACTTTGTTAAACATGTACCTTCAATTCACTCTACATCATGTGTCTGAACTCCACATAATGCCTCAACACATCAACATAGGAAGGTCAACTAGGTTATATAGATGAAAATTTTTAACATACAACCACCAAGCTTTTTCAACCTCAAAGATGCTCTAATGATTGTATAAGAGAAAGTTCAATATGCTTTTTCAATGAACTTCAGTAAGCTACACATGTAACTGGAAGAACAAGCTTGTCTTTAATAATACAAATAAAAACGAAATGGACAGAAGATATCTCCCTAACCTGGACAAGGTACTTATCCCTCATATCACCTTCTTAGCTTACCAAATGCACCTTCTCGTTCCAAAAACGTGCAACACAAACAAAGGGTTAGCCTGCTGATAAGTTGTCGTTGAAGCGATCAAATTAATACTACTTTTCAAGACAACTTCAGTATTGCCAAGTAGTATTCAATAAAGTAGATAGGGTTAAAGTAACCCTGAGTCGTCTCCCAACGAACACAGAATTGCTTTTGAATATCTAACTCTTATGCTATGCAATGCTTAGGAATAAAAATGACGTTTGGAGAATGTTTAAAGAACAAATAATAAACTTAAAAACAATTATGATTAAATAGGCTAATTCCACTGCTTTTCCAAGATAGATTCGTCATCGGTTATTCACGGATAATTGTTAAATTGATTATTGTTTAAGTTTCAAATTAATTAAAGTACATTCTCAATTAATTTGAGGGCGATCATGCATTTAACCAAAGTAAATTCTCAATCAAATTCTATTGTGTTTAATCATGTCTATTCTTAAATCTCCTAACCAAGTTAAAAGTTAATCAATCAAAGTAAATTCTCAATTGATTATATTTGAAATTATTACTACCAACCAAAGTACATCCTCAATTGATAATAAAAACCATTTAATTATATGAAAGTTCCTAAATTTAATCAAAGTAAATTCTCAATTAAACCTAGAAACCCTAAAATTCATATAATCAATATGCATGTAGATTCAAACACATTATGATGCAAAAATCTTTGCTTTTAATAAGATAGAGAGATGAAAGACATAGAGAGAACAACTTAAATCAATAATCAAAGTAAACAATTGCATTAACTGAACATAACCTTAGAATCCGTCTTGGAATTACAGTAGAATAGCCCTAGATGCTTAGCTCTCCATGATTGGAGTTGAATACAAGATGAAAGAAAATTGAGAGGAGTATGAGAGAATGAATGAAGTGAAGTCCCCTGGGTCTCTTTAAATAGGCTTGATTGGGCTTGGACTCTGAATATTCAGTTGATGAAATCTTTTATCTTATATCTTCCAAATAACTAAAAGATTTAAATAATTATAACATTATTTGGAAGATATTTTCTATTGATATTCCCAATTTAAATTAATTCAACAACTGAATTTTATTTTTTTATCTTTTCTGACTTTCTAAAATTACAGAAATGCCCTGAAATTTCCTCTATCTGCACTTTAGCCCATTCTGAATTTCTGAAATTGCAAGAAAGCCCCTCAGTTGATCAGAGAAGGCTTATTGACTAGCTTTGACCAGAGTAGGACGCACCAATGGGAGCTCGCCACGTGGCTGCCCTCTTCCTTCCCAAAATTAGGGTTCAGAATTGGGGAAAAGGCCTTCCCCTTTCTGCCGTCTGCCTGTGTCTGTTTGGGTTTTTCTTTTGAATTAAAGGTTCGAAGATGGATGACAGCGGCAAGGAGGTGAGCACGGCGACTGTACGTGACGGAGGCGATATGAAAACCTCGCGGCGGCGCGGATGTTCGTTGATGGCGTCCAGGGCGGAATCGCGATTGCGATTGCTTGGGCGATGAAGAACTCGCGATGGTATTGATGGTGATGTGCGTTGAACGTTGCGATCTGCGGCGCGGCTTGGATATGGAGGTTTCAAAAGCGGCGAATGGAGGAGGAGCTTGCTGGTTTGATGGAGAAGAGGACGGTGACTCTGTGCGACGGCGACAAGATGTTGGTGATGCGAAGAAGATGGAACTCGCGAGAAGTTTTTGCGGTTGAGATGCGCGATTGGGTTCCGAGAAGGTGGCGCACTCGTGGTTCATGGTGGTGATGGCGAGACCGTGGTGATGGTGATTTCTGGGTTCTTGGGTTTCCTTTGGTTTTTCTGAGTGTAGGTGGTAGTTCTCGATGACGGTGCCGTGTGAGAAACGTTGTGTCGGACAACCATGGAGATGCGAAGAAGATGAACGGAGGTTGCAGATGATGCGGTGCAGAGCTTGCGGCAACGGAGGAGAAGACGAAGATGGAGGTGCGATGGTGATGCACAACGGAGGCGGAGCGGCGCGACAAGGTTGCAGATGGTGCTAGAAAGTCGCGCCTTGGTGGTAGCTGTCCGGTGACGAAGCGACGCGGCGGCGCGGTTGATGGTGACGGCCTGACCTGTATCCGCGGCGACTAGCGGGAATGGTGGTCGTGGAGGTTGCGTCAGCGGCGGAAGCGGAACGGCGGCTTGCGGCATTGGCGGCTAAGGTTTCTGTGGAGAAGGTGGAAGATGATGCTCATGTTAGGGCTGAGGTGGCGGCACATAATTGGCTAGATCTTTGTGGGGAAGATTTGGACACGTGGCATGATCTGGTAGAGTCTAGCTTAGGAAGGATATGGATAGGGAAATTTAGGAGGTGTATTTAGAATAGGGTTACTGTTTAGCTTTGTATTAGGCCTCTTTAAGATAAGAGGGGTGTATGTAGGGAAATTGGAAGGTGCAAGGGTAAACGTTGTCTGTTTGGCCCATCTGTACATTATTTTCCAAATAAAATCTGATTTTGGGCCTTGAATTGCCATTTGGACCAATAGAACTTATAATTTCAGCTGCACAAATAAACGTAAGAACATCCAAGAATATTTTATGCGCTAAAACTCACTTTTTACGTCTCTTTAATTCTCAAACCCAACAATTCCAATCATCACAAATTCACTTAAAATCAATTATTTAAGCACAATTATTCTATCAAAAATTTAATTTTAAACCATAAATGTGGACATAAATATGCACTCATCACCTGCTGCCATTAAAAACGATATCCTTCAACTTCCTGTGTTACTCTAGGGCTGCTGCTGCATTTTGCAAGTTCATGGAACCCATTTGCGGCCAAGCCTACGACCCAAAACAATGCAAAACGTTGGCCTTCACCCTCCACAGAACCGTCCTCTTCCTCCTCTCCACCTCCATATCCATCAACCTCTCCTTACTATTGCTTCGTCCATAGTCTTATGCTGCAGCCAAGACCACCACATATCCTCCACCGCACAAACCTCCATCCTCTTCTCCATCACATACAACTTCCTCCTCTCCTTCCTCCCTTTCTCCACCTACGTCTTTGTTTGCCTTGAACGGTAGTTGTAGGAACACACCTCCATCCTCTGCGGCGTTCTCCTCAACCCCAAAGCCACCATTGCTTCCATGGGATGTACACATTTGACAGCGACGCCAACAACATCATAACCGCATAAGCCCATGCACGAAGGTTAACATGCTTCTGCTAACAAATGAATGCGACGGAGGAACGAATGCAGCTATGGGGAACCAAATTATGAACCCACGAAGCTTTACACTCTCTCAAACACTGACTGCAACCGGAGAACCACAGATCCGTATACGACGCCATTAGAACCGAATAAACACGCGCACAATTTCCTGGATCCGGATACGCCAAGCCTGTAACCGAATACGCCTCCTTTACTATTAATGTTGATATTATTCTTTTTCATGTTAACTATTGAATTATGATAATTTATTGTTCATATTATATGTTATTGTTTTATTGATTTAATTTTTAAAAAATGAAATTCGTCATGAGTATGCTGATTTCATTTTTAAAAAAATGGATCAAATTGAAAAAATTCAAAATATTGTAATGAAATTGAAAATGTTATAAGAATACCAAGACTGAAATCCTTATTTATCCTAAAAACGTTTTTGAAACTGTGATCATTATAACTTTGATTACAGACTGAAAACAAAATCATAAAACGTTTATAGGCAAAAAAGCAAATGATTATTAAGTATTTTTTGATAATTTTTTCACGAAACAAATATTAACTATTGAAAAAAAATCTAAAAATTTTCTCCAATAATTATTTCCCCGCTAGTTCAGTATAAATATCTCAGTGCCAATGCGTGTTTTTCACGGGAATAACTGTCGTTGAATCGAAAAAAAAATGCAGAGTCTGCAAGAAAAGGCTTCCGAATGGAGTGGGGTTGCCATAGACGACGCTTTTTCCATCGACAACACCAACCTCTTTAACAAGCTCGGCCTTCAAACCTTCATCAACCTCTCCACCAATTTCTACAACAGGTGCTTCGTTTTCTTCAATTAATCATGTTGAATGTAACGTAGATAAGGCTATTTTAGAGTATACCTGAGTTGAATTAGGTTTTGTAAAGTTGAATTAGGTTTAAAAATTATAATTAGTATCTGAATATCAGGTAGAGTCTATCTATCAAGTAGAGTATATCTTACTAAGATTTATTGTTTGTTGGTTTTATTTCTTATCTTACTATCTATTTGTCTGTTAATATCTAGTTTTAGGCTCAAGATATGTTCTCATGGTGAGAAAGTTCACTTTTTAACAAACCGTGTTTTATTCAGTTCTTGAATGATGTATTTTTTGTCGGGGTTTGACTTGGGACAGGGTATACGCCGAAGAGGAAGAGTGGTTTCGTTCAATATTCGCTAATTCTAAGAAAGAAGACGCTATTCAAAACCAATACGAGTTCTTCGTGCAACGAATGGGTGGACCTCCTCTCTTTTCCCAAAGAAGAGGTATTGTTTTGCTTTCTAGGAACCTACCATTTGCTGCTGATTCCAATATAACTTCAGTTATATTTGTGCCTGCAATGTTAAATTATTATTATTCTTGTAAAATGAACTGAATTATCGAGTTTGGTTCGTACGTTACTTAGGAAAAAAGTGCATTTGATTTGATTATTTGAAATCTACTGACTCATGTAGCCAGCTAGTAGAACAGTTTTCAGTAGACTTTGAAAAAATTGTTAACTCATTATTTCCCTTAGAATATTTGATGGTGTTCCGATAGAACGTGATAAGGTCAACAATTTTTGTTAAACTAGACTCTCTTACTATCTTAAAAGTGGACTTTAAGTACTCCTTGAAATTAGTTTGTATGTAACTTCAGTTTTGCATCTATTCATATTCTATAATTTGATCCATGAGGAAATGGTTGGAGCCCAAATGGAGGATGGGTTACGTGGTTATTATGCGCAAGGGAGAACATAAAGTAGGGAATGCTTAATGAGATTCTCATTTTATCCTTCTCCTTCTCCGTGCTCTTCTGAATTATAATTTCTCTAACACCTATTCCAAGGGGATTTTGTATTCTTCATGAAGGGCCTCCCAATACGCTAAAACCATTAAATTGTTTCCTCAGTTTCACATCATGTCATCAAGATTAATTGAGAACAATCTCTCTTGAAGTGTGGGTCTCCACACTCGTAACACTTTAGACCTCCTTCATTAGTCTACTGTGACTTGTCATATGGATTTTTCTGCAATTTCCCTTTAGAAGACCCTCCCTCTTCTGTTCTAACCACACGACTTGGATCCAACTTCAGTTGCTCTACAGTTTTGGCTTTCTCTACTAGAGATGGAAAATCCCAAAATAATGGCTAATGTTATCCAGCAGCAGCAAGCAACCGCTGGACCCCAAGATCAGCCTAACTTAGGCGAGTTTATGAGACACAATCCCCCTAAGTTTACTAGGAAGGATACTCCAAACCAGGTTGATTCCTGGATCTAAGAGATAGAGAAGATCTTTATGGCCATCTCTTGTCTTGAAGAAAGGAAGTTGGGGTTCACATCCTACCTTTTGAATGAAGAAGTTGAGTACTGGTGGGTTGGCAAACAACAAATGATGGAAGCTCAAAGAGAGAATGCAAATTAGGAAAACCTCAAAGAGAGGTTCTAGGAGAATTATTTTCTCGATAAATTTGAAAGGGATGCAAAGTTCATAACCTTGCAACAAGGAAGAATCTCCATGCACGACTATGAGGCTAGGTTTGATTATATAGCAAGATTTTGTACTCAGAATGCTACTGAAGTGTAGAAATGTCGGATGTTTGAGAGAGGTATGAGGGATCAACTGAAGAAGGTTACCATTCCTATGTGAATTCAAGAGTTTCCAACTCTAATAGAGAAAGCCAAAGTTGTAGAGCAACTGAAGGTTGATCCAAGTTATGTGATCAGAATAGAAGATGGATGATCTTCTAAATTGAAACTCTAGAATAAGCCATATGATTGGTTGCAACAGACTAATCAAGAAGGTCTAAAGTGTTATGAGTGTGGAGACACTTCAGGAAAAATTGTTCTCATTCCTTTAGAATGAAGTCTAGGGAGAAGAAATGTTTTGAATGCCTGCAGTTTGTCATATGGCTTCTGTTAGAATAATTATTAAGTCTACCTAGTATAGCAGGGCCTAAAGTAGGCAGTTGTGTGTTGGGGTATCTATAATGATTGTTCCTAGCAGTCTAGGACAATCTCTTCATCTTCCATCTATGTATTGTATCAGTTTTTTATCTATATAAATGATAGAACTGGGAAGGGTCTTTCAAGCCCTTTAGAACTATTTTTCTCTGTTTTAGATCTCAAGTTGGTATCAGAGCCATGGTTAGAGCCTATCCTAGCGAGTTCTAAGTGGGCATTCTATTCTTCTATTCCACCTGCTATCGGGCCGTTATCGGACCATCCAATTTCTACTGTCACGCACGAGATGTCTATACCTCGGTGTGAAGGGGGTGTGTTGGAAGTCCCACATTGACTAGAGATAAGGCCAAATTAAAATATATAAGTGAGGTGCAAACCTCACCCTACAAGCCGGTTTTGTGGGGATGAGTTAGGCCTCAAGTCCACTTCTAACTTGTTTTTGTTTGTTTGTTGTGATATCCAATTGTGTGAAGGCCATGACAAATGGCGGCCATTGCAAAGAACAAATCGACTGGTAGTCATCTAGGCCACGGAGAAAAGGTTGTTTTGTCACAACAATCAAACCAATAAACCTGCAGTGTACCCTTTTTGCAACCAGTAGGGCTTTGAAGCCTATCAATGTCACATTAGGGCCAACTTATGGCATATACCCATCGAACCAAAAGCCTTTTGCCCGGGGGTAAGGGGAACGTGGACAAGCTCCCAAAGTATGACTGTGGTCAAGGCTGCATTCTTCACTCATGTTGTCGCCATCCGGAGATCAAGTGCTTCTTTCACATTTTTAGGAATAACCACAGGGAGATATTGAGGCTATAAAAGTGAAAGTAAAAGGAGGGTTGACAATCGGTGAGAACTAAGAAAAATTATAAATGGGATGAGGGGGTTGCGAGTGGAACGAGAAGGTACCTTCCTGAGAGCAATGGGCACCAGAATCCTCTTCACCAGGAGGCGTGACAGGGAGAAGGAGATGGTTTGACGGAGAAGAATCTGAAGGAGGAGAGGAGGATCAACCATTTGCTGGGAAGAGGATTACTCACCGGGGTTAACTGTGTAGAAGGATATCGTAGGGGAGGGAAGGTTCGGGAGGAGGACCCGTGGGATGACTTGGACGATGAGGGATTGGAGATGTTAGACTCAAACCACTGGAAGGAAGGACCTGGGGGGAGGATTGAACATCTTGAAAGAGGGCGAGAAGAAGAAGAAAGGTGTCTGTTCAAAGAAGGTAACATGAGCAGACAGGTAGGACTTTTTGGTTTCGGGGAGAGTAGAACACCGGTACCCTTTTTGACAGCCGAGATATGAGACTAGCCCAAAAAGAAACATTGATCGCACGAGCAGAGAGCTTGTCGAGCCCCGGAGACATGTAGTGAACCAAAACAAACACAACCAAAAGACGCGAGGAGAGGTGTGAAAGAGAGGATCATTGGGACAGAGAAAAGAGGAATGAGAAAGGACTTTATTATTGGGGAGGGGCGGGCATCCTATTAATAAGGAAAACATGCCAGTCAAGATGGCATTCCCCCCGTGATGAACAGGAATATGAGCATAACAAAGGGTACGAGCAGTTTCAACCAAGTGTTAGTTTTTCTTCGGCTATAACATTTTGCAGGGGGTGTATGAGGACAAGTGGGACTGATGGTTTAAAATACCATGGGAGCCTAAGAAGTGAAGAAGAAAAAGTTAATGGAAATACTCTTTAGCATTTCCCACTTCTTAAGACTTTAATTACATGACCAAATTGGTTTTGATTTCATTCCAAAAAGGATGTGAAAATGGGTAAAAATCAGAACGATCTTTCATTAGCATAAAACCCAAGTACATCTAGAATACTCATCAATAAAAGTAAAAAAATACCTAACCAAAAAAGAAGAGAGCGACTAGGTCCCCAGACATCAGAATGAAAAAGAGAACTGATAGAAGTACAACATTGATTGAGACCTTTTGGGAAAAAGACAGATATAAAACATGTTTTCCTAGTGACAGGACTCATACATCTAAAGTATGAAGACACTAAGTTCAGGGCACATCTTTTTTACTTTGACAAGTGAGGGATGGGACCAAACCGATCCTGTAACCACTTTAGCGGGAAGAGTGCAATGCAAACACAAGGATAACCGTGGGCCGTAGATCCAAAATGGGTATAAACTCCAGCTTCATATCCTTCTCCAATTTGTCTACCGAGCCACGCTCCTGTATAACACAAAAGAATTTGAATCGAAAGTTATTGAAAACAATGTAACAGTGTGTTAACTGACTTAGGGCGAATTAATTGATATGGACAGTTAGGGACAAAAAAAGAACGATTCAGAGTTAGAGAGGGAGACAGGGAGATTGACCGACTCCCTTTGACCAAGTTTTAGAGCCATTTGGCAAGGGTAATGAAATGGGTTTTTCTTGGAGGGAGGGTTGAGAACAATGAGGTTATTACCAGAAATGTGATCCGAGCACCTGAGTCCAATTACCCATGAATTTAGACATTCATGGAGTTGAGACATGCAAGCTTGTGACGCGTTACTTGGGGATTGGATGATTTGCGCGCAAAATAGTAGAACTTTAATCGCAGATAGCATACTCTTGATATTATTCATCAGTGAAACTTGGAGTTGGAAAGTGGAAGTTTCAGCATTAGATATATTGACGGTTTTTGAAGGAAAGTCATGCACAAGGAGTAGTAGCAGTGATGTTTTCTTGGGCTGGGACCCAACCTCTTACAGTAAGAGCATGTGGACGGTCCCGACAGTCCAAGTCCTCATCCTATAGTGCTAGTGGCCACGTCCTCTCTTCCTCGCGTGCAACCATGGACAGATGTTCCATGTTCAAGCTTCCTGAGACTGAGGCACACAGGAATCACGACAGAGGAGCAGGAACGGACAGAGGAGCTTCTGGACACCACCCAAAGTGAGATTTTGAGAGTGACCCCAAGAAGACCAGAAAGAAAGGATATGGACAGAGGAGAGAGAAGAGGGGCGAAGCTAAGGATTCGGTGGAGCGGCGGGCGGACTCTTTCCGGTGAGCAGAGGCGCGCTAGTGGGACAGAACGGCTGAGTCGCAGCGCACAAAGAGGCGGCGCGTGGCGGAGCGTGGAGGAGAATCAGGCGAGCCCACCGGTGGGGTTGGACGTCGCGTGAAAGGAGCGAACCAGTCTGGTGGTCGCCGGGACGGAATGTGACGGCGGACGGCTGAGAACGGCGGAGGACGGCGCAGAAGAGAAGGAGGAGAACAGGAGGGGGTGGCGGACGGCGGAGAAAGGTGGTTGGACAGACAGAGTGACAGGATGGTGTATGGCGGACAAAACCAAGGTGGAGGCTCCAAAACTGCAGGTTGACAGTTGCAGATGGTGGCGATGACAGACGCGCCCCCCCACCCCCCCCCCCCGAACAACGGCGGAACGGCAACGGCAGGTGCAAAAAGCAGTGACAGTGCTGGTGGACAGGAAACCAGAGCAGGATGAACCTGCTCTGATACCAT